TGATGGGCGCAGTAGCAGTGCCCTTTTGGACAGGCGTGACGGTTACCACCAGGCGTACGACTTGCAAACGGGAGGAAGCGAACGCTACGGTGCGTTGACGCTGGCGGTATTGCAGGGGATAATAATAATATTACAACTAGGAACAGTTTACACGTTAGATTATGGTAAGGATAATTTCGTGGGAGACTGATGCCTAGACTCCTCCTAAACCTCTCATAAATACAAGTTCAAAAAATGCACACAAGATATTTTTACCACCATGCACCAACGAGAAATATTGAAAAGTCGCTTCAGAATACACAGATACAAACACAGTAATGAGTTGAATCTTGCAAAATTAGAATCTCAAAAAGAATAAGAGCATTGTACCGTTTACAGTCCTATGAAATTTAATATCTTGGGTCCATCATTATTAAAACACTGCAAACGTTTTAAGTATTATTATTAATAATAATATAATAAGTGTTGTATTTAACAAGTCAGCATTGCCAAAACCGACTGAACAACATGCATAATAAATATTATTTATGAGATGTTAGTTGTGAATATTATAGGATGTTCCTTATAAGTAATAATAATAATAATAACGCACACACTGAACATAGCCCGCACTCGGGAAACCCTGGGTCGCGGGTACCATGGACACACACATAGACAACAACAAATTACACCCAAACTCACGAGAGAAATAAATGTTGGCCATAGAAATATTTTTCACGGCCCGGGAATCGAACCTGTGACCTCTGTGTGGCAGTCTGGCTTGGTAACCGTTCGGCCACGGAGACAGTTAAGTGTGCGCTGACAGGCATAAGATCCTTTTCGATGCTCTTCTCCGCCGTCTGTCGATTAGCGTTGGCCCTCAGCCCTCTATGAAATGCGAAATTTCTAAATTTTTTCTTATATTCTGTTTTTCATTTTTTCCCTTCATTTACGTAATGATGATATATTTATATTAATAATAATAAAAACTTTTTAAAAGTAACAGTTCTTAATAATAGTTCCTCAAGTGACAGCGTTACAACACTATTACCGGTGGTTCCTTCATTCCACGTACCACTTATTCGCCTCCCTTCATAAAGGCATCAATTCGTCGAAAATTGATGAAATAAAAATATCCACCATGTTTTTAGCGAAGCAGTCGGTATTTCTTTTTTTCCATTCATTATTGATGAGTGGTTTACTACGGTCCTTGTACAGTCATGTATTTTATTTTTACAGCTTGGCTTTTTATTTCTGTCTACAATGTTACCCAACTGCTACAGAAGAAGGGTAATGTTTTTCGGGTGTATATATTCATACACACTCATAAACTGTTTCGAAAAATTACTTTTTTGGGAACATGGCAAAACAGATTTGTAAAATTAGACGTAAACAATAATGCTAATTACGACAAAATTCCTTACGATTTAAAAAACGACTTATAAGTTTTATTTCGTTCGTTAGTTTTTTTTTTATTTTGGGAGCTTGTACAATTTTTGTTTTGGCAGTTTGCACAAATATATTACTCTTCGAATGTTAATGCTTAGAACGTTACTATGGACAGTGCGAGATAAGATGTCTGATTTTTGGTACACCCTATATAGCCTAAACGATTTGACGGGTTTTCCCGATTCTTAGTTTTACCCTGTGACGGTGTGAAATCCTTACACCGTTATCTCACCTCTTTGTATCGCCTCTCTCCGCTTGTATCCTATCATTTTTTATTTTACATGTATTTAAATTTTAAATTTGATTTGTGCCATCTTCCTTTACTTTCTCATTTTGTTTCTTTCCATCGTCACTCCCAGCTCGACCAAAAAGGCTTCATAAACCCAAATGTAATGGTGCCGTCATTGAAACCCTGGCTATTACACGAATATAAAGATTTGTACAGACGCTTTCTGGCGCTTTCTGGTGCTTTTCAACCCGAAGTGACATAGGCTACATTCCGTGACAAAAAAGTATAACTATGACGGTTGCTGGCTGAAATATTACGATTTTTCAGCTAATAATAAACTAGCATTCAAGCAATTAGCCCGCAATTTCAACGTGGAGTCTCAATCTGCATCCCGTTAGTCTGATATTTTTATATAAATATATAAACATTGTACATACGATATTGTTTATCTATGGATATAATTTAAAATAATCACACTCATAGCCCCACACTAGGGAAACCCTGTATCACGGGAGCCATGGCTTCACACATAGATAACCACAAACTGACGAGAGAAATAACTGTACGCCATATAAATATTTCTCCCGGCCCGGGAATTCAACCCCGGACCTCTGCGTGGTAGTCCAGTAAGGTTAATTTTCGGCCACTGAGGCAGTTAAACTGAACTATATATGAATACCAGAACAACTGAATTAACTCTGGGGCACTTCCCAGTACACCCAAACCAGAACCAATTTTTAAAAGTCGATTTCCCATTAGTCCTACCGTAAATCGTATCTGGGACCTCGTCATCCAGCGCCCGCCGTTGGGCCACCGAGGTCGTCAATTAGCTATTAGTTACTCTTCTCTTTGGGTGTTAAATATATTTCGCTTTTAACCGACTTCCGAAAAGAAGCAGGTTTTCAATTCGACATTTGTTTTTTGTGTATGTTATTACCCATTAGTGAGCCGATGTTGATGATTTTTTTTTTGTTGGAAAGAGGGTAGGTAGGTAGGAAGGTACTTCTAAGGATAGCAAATTAGGGGACAAATAAGGTTTATTGAATTTCAACCCCTTTCCGTTTACTGTTTTCAATAAAACTTAGCAAATATTTTAATAATAAATTCCACGAACTTTTGTGAACGAACTTTGCACTGATATTATGTAATTACAATTTAATCATAAAAATACCATCGACTAATTGAATTCGTAGATATTTAATACCTCCCCGAAAAGTTGTCTTTTTGCAGGTGTGACATTTTTACTCCAAGGGTGAGATATCTGTATGTTATTCTGATATGTATGGACTTCTATAAAATTACTTTAAATATAAATTGTAATGCAAAGTACCAAGAAAATCTCATCTCGTTTCAGGATACAACTCAAGCATAGACGTCTTCAAAACAATCCCACACTCCCAAAGGCGATATAAATACTATATTGAAATATCGCATAATGTGTATCGAAATCCACTTTCCTGGGCAATGTATAGACGACCAATTTTAAAGAGCTCCCACTACCTTCTCTCGCAATACTACTTTAAGAACGAAAGCTGCAATTGGTTGAATTTTGACGGGTCTAGTTAAAATGGATGGCGGTAAACGCCCGATAGGTCGGGAGCTACTTATGACCATGAATATTTATGACGTATTAGCTGAACGTCTCTCGTGTTGCCACACCGGTGAAAGTTAAAGGGAAGAAATATGGAGGAAATTAAGCCATTATTGTGAATTTTAAATTATATTATGATTTTTTAACGCTTTTCTCTCTTAGTTAATTAATTAAATTCGTATTTAATTAATTAAATACTAAACTTATAATTAAATACTAAACTTAAACAATAATTATATTGTAAACATTTTGAAAAATACGTTACTTATTAATTATTTTTACAAAAACCGAACACTTAGAATAAAATCCTTCGATCGGGCTGGAAGAAGAAAATAGATTTCTCACAGGTTCAAACAAAGGTCTGCAACAAGCATATAGAAAAATTCGTAAGGTCCGCTAATTCGTTCCGTGGCTTAGTTGGCATAACGTCTGACACAGTTTGCTGGAAGACGTTGGTTTGAATACAGCCAATAAAGCAAACATCAGGATTTATATTCCATATTCCTTTTCATTCCAGATGCGTAGCATCTAACCCCAAGTATCGTGTGTTTCCGGTACCTGCTTGTCAAAACAATCCCGGGCTTCCTCAAGAGATGACGTTTTTGTATCCTCAGAATTAATTTTGGCGCGGTACGTTTGAATGTATACAACAGACAAAATACGTACAATATTTATTATTATTATAATAATATATTCCAAATTTTTTATTTCATATCTGTGTTTGATACGAAACGAGCAAGTCGTGCGCCTGATGGAAAAAGACACGCCTCCCCATAACACAATTGCAATGCTATACAGAGATTTAAATCGCAAAGATTTGAGGGGCATTGTCTCTGTACCCGCCACCCGAAGACGTGAAGTTAACAAGTACTTTCGCCTGAAGTTTTAGCAGCACCCTTATCTGTCAAAATCGAAACGTTGTAATGCTCATATTACTGCATTGGTTGCAGAAATAGGTACACTTCCGTCGGCGATACAGTGTATATATTTTTAACCGACTTCAAACAGAAGGAGGTTTCGAGGATGCGCACGAAGGTTACACTTCCACATTGATATGGCGAACGGCTATGGAGTGAAATTCCCTGCTTGAAGATTTATTCGCTGAACGTTATAACTTGGGCCTTTTCAAGCTGAGAGTGAATAGGTATTATTTAGATGTGCATGCTTCATCGTCGACCCCATCGTCACTTTTCATCAGGTGAGAAGGAGGTCAAATGGGCACTTACAATTTGTATAAACAAAAATACGTAAAATCTGCTGGTTCGTTTCGTGGCTTAATAAGCAGAACATCTGGCATGGAATGCTTGAGGGTGCTGGTTCAAATTCAGCCGGATTGAATGAATTCTAATTACTATTCTCTGTCTAATTAATTTAATATCATGGTAGTAAAGCATTGTAATATGCAGTAAACTTAAAAATTGTAATCATACATTTGTTTCAATATCCATAGTAAATTATATTTCAAGGATTTTTTTTATCACAAATTCCTGAAGGAAGCATCTCCTTAAATGCAAATTATAAATGTTTATATGAAGACTTCAATTTATATTCTAATGCAATAGCTTCCCGCAAGAGGGCGGGGTGTACTGGATGACGTTCTTTAACTAAATAATATAAAATCGAACTTTACAACAATAAGATATTTACCCAGGGTGGTTCTATATTAACCTGTATATGGTTAGGTTACCTTAGGGTAATCTTCCAAGTTTAGAGATTTGTCTACCACACTGGGCCGGTATGGACAGGGAACTAGACACAGAGAAACTTGCGGATAGCATTTTAAGATAACTTATAATGAATATTTACATCTGCATGATGCTCAGTTCGGGTTCCGACCTGAATTGTCCACGGAGAGTGCAATTCTCAGCTTAAAACACACTGTCCAATATTACACGGAGCGTCGAACGCCAATTTACGCTTGTTTCCTGGACTTGTCGAGGGCGTTCGACCTCGTATCGTATGATGTGCTTTGGGACAAGCTGCGAAGAAATGGTGTTCCAGCTGAACTGTTGCGCATTTTCCAGTTTTGGTACCTTAACCAGATGAACAATGTTAGGTGGGCTGACAAGTTATCGGAGTCGTATGGGTTGGAATGCGGAGTGAGGCAGGGGGGACTCACCTCGCCCCGTCTATTTAACCTGTACATAAATGATCTGATTGTTAGGCTCAGCAACAAAAAAGTCGGGTGCCGTATAGATGATGTTTCTGTGAATAACATCAGCTATGCGGATGACATGGCGTTGCTGAGCCCGACGATTAGAGCTCTCAGGGAGTTACTTGGCACTTGTGAGGAGTACGCTAAAACACACGGCTTAATTTATAATGTGAAAAAGAGCGAATACATGGTTTTTGGGGCCGCCGGTGGCAAAATACCTGATTCCATACCGTCAATTAAACTTAACGGCAATGAACTGAAACGAGCTTACGCATTTAAATACCTTGGCCATTTTGTTACCGACGATCTCAAAGATAACTTAGATATTGAAAGGGAAAGAAGGGCGCTGGCAGTTAGAAGCAACATGTTGGCCCGGCGATTTGCACGTTGTAGTAAGCAAGTAAAAGTGACATTATTTAAAGCTTACTGTCAAGTCTTCTACGCGTGTAATCTATGGGCCAGCTTTACGCAGAGAGCTATAAGCGTCCTTCGAGTACAATATAATAACGGGTTCAGGATGCTGATGGGGCTGCCGCGGGCCTGCGGTGCCTCGGGTATGTTTGCGCAAGCTAGACTAGATGACTTTTATGCCATTATGCGCAAAAAGACTGCCTCGATGCTCTGCAGGCTGCGGGCCAGCCCCAACTCCATTCTGAACATTATGGCGGCGAGGTATGACTCGCCATGCATGCGCCACTTTGCCCAGGTGCTGATCAGCAGGAGATAATTTTTCTGTTGGTCAGACACTAATTGTTTAGATGTAAGTTTGTGCACTAACATAGATATAAGAATTCTATTGTTACTAACAAATTTGGACCAATGTAGTCTGTGAATTTAAATTTAATAATAATAATAATAATAACTTATTTACTTAGATAACTTTTTCATTGACAAAAAAAAAACAGATCTCAAAAGTTTGCTTATCGGATTTCATGGGATCCTCTCATCAGATTCTAACTTCTTCGTGACATTGGAGCTGTTACGGACTCCTTGTACATTTAACAACGGTAATTTGATCATTACACGTATTGTGTCAAGTGAAAATTCGACGTTTATTTGCGGTAAATAATTAGCAATTTGTGATAGTATCTATCATACCCAGATCAGCATCATTCAAATAAAAGAAGGATTTTCAGGATCGGTCCGCAATTGATTGAGAAATCAGTGAATACACGGATACGGATATGGATTCTAACTTGGTGACAATGGGACCACCACGAAAGTGCACCCTTTCAAACAAAAAAATAATTATCAAAATCGACCCACAATTGACGAAGATATCTGAAAACATAAATAAAACATACATACAGCCGAACGTACAACCTCCTCCTTTTTTTTGAAGTCGTTTAAAAATTGAGCTTTCTATTTTAAATTTATGTGTATAAATATTTAACGTATTGGAAAAATTACTTTGTCAACACATTGCAATATCATAATTTATTTGTAAAACCAATGTAAATAATTTCTGAATTGTACTGTTTATTCACTCCAAAGCCTTATTTTTCTGTTGAACCTTCCTGTTCCTGTTCTTGAATTTATGTCATTCGTTTCCTGGTACGGCGTTGTCGCAATCGTTGTTGTCTCATCAGTCGTTGTCTCATCCGTCGTAGTCTCATCCGTCGTTGTCTCATTCGTCGTTGTCTCATCCGTCGTTGTCTCATCCGTTGTTGTCTCATCCGTTGTTGTCTCATCCGTTGTTGTCTCATCCGGCGTTGTCTCATTCGTCGTTATTTCCTCTTCCGGCGTCTCTTTCGTCGTAGATCTTAACTCATTCTGCAAGTGTTTTTTTTGTGAAGATAGCACCAGAGTCGATACAAATAGACTAAACGATAACAGTCCCAAAAACACTATCATTTTGTTATCGAAACACCATTCAATAAATTCTCCCGTGTAATATTTACAGCGCCTTGAACAATTCATTTTTATTTATTGATTTCAAATATGCGGTTGAAAGACTATTATTGAGTTTTATTGCTCTTCAACACGACTTTTCTGCCAACTTCACTTTTAAATTTTAAAATCACACATTTATTTCAGCCGCGTTATCGTCAACTTTATCTGTTTAAACATTCGATATGAATTTATGATATGAGAACTGATTATGTGACAGCTCTTTGTGTTCCACACTATGTTACGCCATCATGACGCGAGCAGATAATGTAGATACATTAGCTTATATCTGTAAAATAAGATTTTTTGTAAAATCACATAGTTGATCTAAATAAATACAATGCAAAAAAGATACTTTACACATCGTTTCTCAATTTCGTCGATCCCGATTTTATCGATTTGGATTACTATTTAACGGAGAACTTAATACACCGAGGGTACACAATTTTATATATAGTATTTTATTATCTATAATTATAATAATAATAACGCACACACACAACATAGCCCCGCACTAGGGAAACCCTGTGTCGCGAGTGCCATGGACACACACACAGACAACCACAAATTACACCCAAACTCACGAGAGAAATAAATGTAGCCCTTACAAATATTTCTCCCGGCCCGGGAATCGAACCTGAGACTTATGTATGCGTGGCAGTCAGGCATAACCGTTCGGCCACGGAGACAATATTATTCATAATATGGATGTAACGTGATTGACACAAGCTCATGAAGAGAAGTACGTGACCGAAAATACGATGTTACGCCAATGCTAATTACGACAAAAGTAAAGTAAAATTATAAAATGCATTTTTATTTCATTTTTAAAAAAGGTATTCCACAAAACGATCTACAATATTTCCTTTTGTCATAATTCATAACACATACTTATCTACTAAGAGAATTTGCTCTTGTGCTTAAGGTTAATGACGTCATCAGAATAACAAATTGAACGAATTTATATGAAACCCTATGAACCTCCGCCCTATGTCTTCAAATGAAGTAATTCCTAAGAATAATCTACCATAGAGTTTAATTGATGCGTAGAATTGACGTCAAAATATTTTTATTTAATTTAATACGTTGCTTCAGTGAATGAACAAAATTTAAATTCTACAAAACTCAGAATAAATCAAATATCAGTTAATTTGTCATCAGAATAATTAAATACTGTGTACTGAGAGCGCACTTTATTCGCAATTTTCCCAAACTCTAAGCCAATTCGTCGGTTTCGATCATTAATTTTACGCACATATTGCGTGATCAATATGCCCAAATGTGTGTACCATAACTGATACATGTTTATGCTCTATCTGCCGCAAAATGAAAATAAAAAAATAAAATAAAATCGGCTATATTTGACATGCAAAGCAAATAAATTACAATCACTAAACAAAGAAAAAAATATAAAAAGAGTCAAGTTAAAATAAAAAATAATAAAGCATGTCAAAACAGTCCATGACTCAGCTTTTAAGAACTATGCAAATTACATAGCACTCAATGTTATTCTGTCATGACCCGTGCAGTAATGTGATGGTGCAATTACAGGCACAGGGGACTTGTCAACTTAGCCTCAGGGTGACAGGCGCAGTGGCAGTGCCCCTCAGATCTTTGCGATTTAAACCTCTGAGTGGCACTCCAACTGTTATGGCACGTAACTTACCACCAGGCACACAACTTGTTCGTCCCGTCACTTGACATTCTAAAAAAAAGTTCCAATAATAAAACATCATTAGTTTTAAACTAGTTAATTGTGGGAAGTGTGTTTGTATATGTACATGAAAATATTATTATTATACTTATTGAACAATGTTACATTTCAACGTGCCAACTTGTCGTGTCATATGTTCCTTCGTAATAATGTAATGGAAAGGTGCACACAAACAAAACCGGTCACTATTGTTTACCGCGGCACCTAAGCCGCTCACGCCATCTCCAGCCGATACGGTAGGCCCGACCTCGAATGCTTGTTGCTTTGTGCTCCATTTGCTAAGCTTCTCGGTGGCGTCTTAATACATCAGAACCTGTGGTTTTTTTGTGCATTTCGCTTTATATAGCTGTGTATATACCACCGGTTTAAGACTGTAAACGCCGTAAAAAAACCTTTTGTGTGAGTTCGTGTGAATAGTTATTGTCAACGGTATAGAACAACATTTACCCACCCCAAAGTAGAAATCGAAATTAATTCAGAGACAAAGTACTTAAATGAATAAACGTCGCAATTTGACTTTTCTCATATAGTATATTCACATCAATGTTTCCAAGGTCTATGGACCGGGGGCCCGGCAAGCCATTCTCTTATCTAACGGCCCCCATTCCTTACATCGAACCAACGACAGCGAGGCATTTGTCTCGCCACCGGAAACCCCTCCCAGTTACGTCGAAACCTTTATAAGTGTGGCTTGCTTAAAAGAATTTTAATTTGGAATTTTGTCTTCCACCGTTATGTTACAAGTTTAGTCTTATGAGCACGTTAAAGGAAGTAAAGATCTTTTTAACCAACTTGAAAAAAAGGAGAAGGTTTTCAAATCTACTGTATTTTTTTGTTTATATGTTACGCGACACTCCGGATTTGTGAATCGACTTTGATGAATCTTTTTTCATTGGAAAAAGGGTATCTCAGTATTGGTTCCATTTTTCCCATTCGTCCAATTTTAAGGAAATATTCCATCTCTAAGAGCGGCAAACTAGGGGTTGAATCCGGTTTCGCGCACTTTCTGGTAACCGATTTCATAATTAGTTATACATATTTACATGAGCATGAGTAAATGTAGGCAATATACATGTACATATACAAGGCATCGAATACTTCAATCTCAGAATACCTAATAAAGCTACTTCTGCGGCCAAGCAGAAGTAGATATGGGGATTACTGCTGTGTTCGGATTTTGAAGGGTAGGGGCGCTTGTAAAACTACGGGCACGTGGGTCTTGTCAACTATACGTCTCAAAGTGATGGGTGCAGTGACTTGCCCCTCAGGTCTTTGCGCTCTCAAAAAGTACCTACAGATTTGCTCGATTTTTATTGACGATCGACTTGTTGCTCAGACAAAATCGAGTAAATGTGTAAACAACTGACGATCGACAACGTATCTTTTGTCGAACGACACTGTGAAATTAAAATTACGTGCAGGTACTTAGAAGTTTGTTCTATTGCAACCTGTAAATTTATCGACAGCTAGCGTAGTAACGATCGTCAAAAATCGAGCAAATCTGTAGTCACTATAAGGCACTGCAGCTGTGTTATGGTTAAGCATGTCGTTGATGATCAGGCGTTCGACTTATTCGTTCCGTCACTCTATAAAAAAACTACCCTATGGTTTCAGAGATCATTTGAATAAAAATCCATAGATGTATCAAATTGTCAAATTGTTCTTTTTATTTCAGGAAAATAACAATATCTATAATAATAATGAACAAAAACTTTCATAAATTTCACAGATGGCGCTACAGCAAAAATCTGTTAAAAAACCAAAACCAAAGACCTGTAACAACGCATAAAAAAATCGTAATGTCTGCTGACTCGATCTACAGTTCAGTTGTTGGAGCGGTCGCCCTGTAGAGCTAACATGACAGGGCGCGACTTGAACTAGAGCGACATAACGTGCAAGACACCGCTATTCTCGCAAAGAAATCGTGTTAGGCCTGCTGGTATGGCACAGACGCAGGTTCGAGTCTTGTCAGATCAAAGGAATTTTCCATTGTGTTAGATCTTTGTATAAATAATAAAAGAATCCAGAGCTAATTATACCATATAGAAAGAGACAGGCAGACTTTATTTATTTGAGTTTAAAAAATGGGTAGCAACAATTTCGTAATGAATTTTGTAAAAAAATATTATCGTTCCAAATCCTGCAAAGAGTTACAAACAGAGGAGCAACTCAACAGTACCCAACACGGATAATTCAAAAGTTTTGTCATAGACATCCTTCAAC